CGCACTGTTTGGTGATTTGGTGTCGGCATTAAAAGCGAAGCAAATCGGTTTTTATATATTTAACGATTCTAATGGTAGTTTATAGACACGATATTTTCAATGCAACAAACTGCAGTTTTCTAGCTGCCTTAGTTTTCTCACACATCCACTTCAAAGATGGATACATTGTCAAAAAACGTACAAATGCATTGATTGCACTGCACGTGTTAACTTCAAAGTTGTTTTTGTCGAAAAGTTATTTATATTGAGAAAAACTGTGCATTATCATTTTTCACAGCTATACTCGTATTATATGTAAATAATGGGGCATAAGCATAGTTAAAATAAAGCCGACACTTAAGTTACAGCTTTTTCATATCACTTTCAGTGGACTAGGCATCCGTGAAAAAAAGACGCAACTAACTTTCTTCTTATTTGGTACTGACAAACTTAAACTTAGAGTAGACTTTATTTCATATACGAATATGCCCCAATAGTTTTGGAGGCAAATGAAAATGCATTTCCCCATGTATATGTATGTACATACATATGTACTCCATTAATTGATAACGTTTTTACATGCATACCTATATATGTATGTACAAATGTGCATATTACTGCCAAAATGCTACGCACATACATACAAATGTACATATGTACAACTCACGGCAGCATACATACATATGCACATAATTACACGCATACTCAAATACAACAATAACTATTTCTTTCATAAACGCATGCGCGCATTTCTCAAGGCCAAGTAAATTCATTCATAAAAATAATCGCAGCACATCTCCCCGCAAATTCATCACCCTCAAGCGCAACTTTTTCAATCCGACACAAAAATTCTAAAATCTTAAAATGAAGAAATCTCGGCCAGCCAAGTGAAAAGTGGCAACTATTTCTCTATATCCAGTAAAATAAGTTATCTCAAATTTTGGAAATTTTTGGTAATTTTTGGTAAAACACTCTATTTCTATGTTCCATATCAATATTTCAATCATTAACTAGTTTTTGAGATGTAATTTTAATAAACATTAAATAAAAGTGTACGTTTTCTGCAGGAAAATACATTGATTTTTTTTTTAGTAAAATCAGAACTTCTAAAATCACAAAAATATGTGGTTTTATCGGAAGTTCACAGATGTAACGTGGCAACTTAGCTCGTTTTCATATTTTTCGGTCCGAAATTGTAAAATTTTTGTCCATGACGCGCCACAATTTTTGTACAGGTGGGTCAATGTGCCTTGAACAAATTTTATATATATACAAAAAAATTATTTTATTTATTTTTTAATATTAAAATTTTCTACACTTCAAAGCGTTTATAAAAATATATTTACATATATGCACGGACGATTTTTAATATTTTTCAACCGTAAGCAAATCTTCAGTACCATAAAAGATTCAAACACATCAAAGTACAAGCAATGCAATGTCCAAGCTAGTGGTACTCCACTGTACATGTGTATATGAAAGTATGCATGTATGCGTGTAAAAAATGCCAATTCCAGTTAGTGTTTAACCCATTTTAGCGGACATAGTTTTTTGGTTACAGCTGTTAATAGCACACTATTTTACAACGCCTTTTATGTTTAATCTTCATGAAAGTTACATGTATCGTCGAAAACATGGCTACAATCAGAATTTTAAATTAATTGTTATTATTCTCCATACAAAATGTACAAGTTTTGCTTTATTAAATGCAAAGTTATGCGAAAATCTAAATATTTCGCAAACGTAGGGTTAATGGTTTCGCGCACGTGCCAATCTGGAGGCGATTCGCAGAAATTGAATAATTTGTGTTGACGGAAGCGGCGAGGGGAAGACGAAAGCAGAACAATCGTATATATGTATGTACATATGTACATTTTTAAATGCATACATACTTACATTTTCATTTGTTTGTCTTTTTGGTTGCATGAAAAATTTGGTAGGAGAAATAGGTATTGAAATGAAGTTTACAAATATGTGCTTTATAAATTTAGGTTTAGTTATTAATAAATTAGATATGTAAATGACAATGTGGGGGACAAATATGCACATGAGTAGCGGAGCTGCTACCCATCGAATGGCAACTTCTTACACGACTTTATTAGAAAAGATTTGAAAACTGCATTATTTCCATAAATATAGAAAAT